TGGGGGATGCCTATGATCATATTTGCTTAAAGTCATCTTGAACTGAAATAAGCAATTAGGGAACCCCAGGAACCAATCAGGGGTATCCCTCTAGCTGATTAACAGGAGAATGGAAACAAGTGACTCCAGGCAGTGGCTCACCCCTGGCTACTGCAGGTCCTGGAAGCAATATAGGTGAACTATTCCTCTATTGCACTTCAGTGCAACATCTCTGTAAGATGGTTGGGATGGAGATAAAATTGGGAAGAAATCCTTCCACCTACCTTGAGCTCCCTGATAAATGGTGATATAGAAGTGCGGAAATAAATATAATAACCCCTTGTTAGCAAAGATGGTGAAAGGACTGCATGCCAGCATTATTGCAACTGGGTGTACTTCCCAGTAACTGTAACCATGGATACATCTGACTGCGCTGCCTGGAAAAGAAGAGATATATCAAAATAATGTCTGCAGACAAATGTCAAGACAGAAGGCCAAAGGGTCTCTTTGGGGCAGGGGGATTAACCTGAAGTAAAACCAATCTCCACACAATCTGGCATACTCAGAAGGGAATTTTATAAAATCACTAGCATAATTATCAGCCTTCATTCATGAAGCAGTTAAGAGAGAGAGAGGAGGGGGAGGGGAGGGAGAAAGAAAGGAAAGAAAGGAAAGAAAGAAAGAAAAAGAAAGAAAGAGAAAGAAAGAAAGAAAGAGAAAGAAAGAAAAAAACTTGGACTTTAGTATCTTGGCTCTTCTGTCTGAGTGAAAAAGAAACAGTCAAAATACTTAGCCTGACTGCTGTGCATATAAGAACTGGTGCAAGAATCTACAAACAAGTCGAAGAAAATGGTCCAGATTCATCATGGCTGCATTTTAAAGTAGAATCCACAGCCTTGATTGGATTCTCTGGAAGAAAATCAGAGCTATTGCTATAGGAGGACCTGACAAAGGATCATTCCTTTTAAGGACTTGTGAAAACAATATTAAATCAACTGAAACTTGGGAATCAGGGTGAATCAAGAGTCTGCCCTGGTAAGAAAATAGACCATCATCAGCATCTACAAAAAGAGCTGTATTCTTGGAAATACTTATGGGGCAGTCTCATTACTGCCATGTAATATCACTGCTGTGGGAGTTACATGGATTACTAGGTTGTTTCTCAATGTAATTCATTGTGCTAGTCATTAATTATAGAAAATGCTAAATCAGGGGTCCCCAGTCCATGGGTCATGGCCTACTACCAGCGCCACCACACTTGCATGAGTGGCAGGTACATGTATCCACTGCTCACACAAATAAAGCTGTGTGTGCACGTGCATGCCTGCCCCTCACATAAAATCATTCCTTCTTCCTCCCCATCCATGCCGAGCCACCAGAAAAGTTGGGGAACTCTGTGCTAAATGTTCTCATCTATCAAGAGATTCAACAGGAAGAGTCATGGGAGCAAGTGTTATCCATAGGAACTCTTTATCTGTTGGCTCCTGAAACAAGGGCAGACCCCATTTGAATGGCTGTTTCAGAAAGTCATTGGAAACTGGAGTTTACACTGAATTTTTTATATGAAATTATTATATTTTATATAAAATTATTATATTAATGTTTGTTGCATTAATGTTTGTTGTAATGAATGTTTATTATTATATTAATTTTTAATTAGTGTTTTGCACTTAGAAATGCTTTGTTGCAATGTATAAATCATTAGCCATTAGCTTTTGACATATTGTCTCCAGAGCACTTTGATTTTTTTCAAAAGGTTGAGTGGGCGGCTGTTTTTAAATGAGAAAGCCACTAATTGAAAACAGGCTTCTTACTACAACAGACCTTTCTTAATAGAAAATTGGAAAACACCACATACCAGAGTGATTCTCAGTTTATGTTAGGATTAATACCTTTCTCTAGTTTCTGGCCCTTGAAATGCTAGAACTCTGAGAATTCGACTTTCAATAGAAGAAAATCAGGTGATTAAAAAAAGATGGGGACCTTTTCTGTTTTCAAGAATCCCTAAATACTGCCCCTACAAGCACAAATGCAATGAAATAATTTATCAGTTGAGTGCAGCACGTTGTGTTAGTGCATATAGTAGTCAAGTAGCTCCTGAGGCCATAATGGAGGGATCTTAACTCTGATTCATCAATAGAAGTCTCCATACATATGTGGATGGAAAAGACAGAGTAATTTCAGAGTAAAAATTAAGTTCTTATTTTAAAATTTAATGCCTCCTATCTATCTTACAATGTATTTCTGATATGCTAATATATAATAAAAAGAACCAACTGCACAAGTCATCCATAACGTCTTTCTGCATTTTTGATCTGAATCAAGGCAAAATAGCCTATGCATACTCTATTAAAAAAGAATGAGTAAAATACTGAAAGATATCACCATAATTATGATTTTATATTTGTAATTTGGAGAAAGCAGAGAATGCATCCATGAATCTAATTTTCACAAGATTACACTACATTACCTTTATTTCTTCAGAAGCAAATTTTTATTATAAAATATATGCTAATTAATTGAGAAAGAAAGGAAATCTCTTATAGAAAATATATCAAGGGACTGACAACCACCAAGGTTATCCTGTTTCCACATTTGTATTTCTAAATTATACATCAGCTTGAATTATTTGTATCTCATGTGTGAGAAATTTGGGAGGTTTCACTAATGAATATTTAAACTGACATAAATAGAAATGTGTTTTTATGGCATTATGAGTGTGGCTTATATTTTTTTCTACAATGAAATTATCATAGTAATATCTTTGTATTGAAAATTATTTTTTATTTTATGTATGTCTACAAATCTTTTCAGGTTGGAAAAATGGGTGTGTTTATTACCTGTGGAAAGGATAATTCCACCTTAGGCCTGATTTGGTTGCTTAATTTAGAATAAATAAAACTAATTACAGTTATGATGCTGCTTCTGCTTCTTATCTGAAATAAAAGAGAGACAATAAAAGTGACTAAGCATCCTTGAAAAGGCAGGGAACATTGTTATTTTAATCAATTATTTTTATTACTCCTCCCTTATTTGTATATTGAAGACTCATCTGAATGATGGATCTAAATTATCTACTTCAGTATTTTTCAACCTCAGCAATTTTAAGCTGTGTGGACTTGTATCCAGAATTCCCAGCCAGCATGCCTAGTATGCACACAGTTTGAAGTTGCTAAGGTTGAGAAACTTGTTGAATAATCCATGGCTCAGGGTGCCTGCCAGCATTCCCAAGACTCAAGTTGGGAATCAAGGATTTTTCCTGATATCTCCTTTCCTTTCTTCTCTGTCTAATACAATTTATATGGCTGTTTTACTAACAAATTGCAAAATAAGTATAAACTGCCCCAGGATTGTTATTTTCCTGAATTCCATATAGCAACTATAGCCTTGATAGAACTGTAGGTCTTTCCTTCCTGAGCATCTGCAAATAACTCAAAGGCCAACAGAAGTTATCTGTGACCATGATAAGGGATTAATAGTATGTTCCAACTCCAGATCACATCATCATTATCCTGAAACAGAAATCAGGTTTCACCTGTTGGGAGTTAGGGACATAAATAACTGGGTCAGGTCCAGGGCTGCCAGAGACACAATGAATTCCTGAGCCATCTTCTGCCCAGTGGAAGCAATTAAAATCTATCAGTATGATCATTCTGGGAATATCCCCTGTCAATGCAGCTGCAGCGTTGATTGGGTAGGGAAACTTTGCAGAAGGGTGGCTTGTACAATAGTAACAATCCCATATAGTTCAGAAATATTAAGCTAGGAAATAGTATACGCAGTGTAATGCGAAAGATCTTTGGAGACGGATGAATAAATGTTGCCTAGGAAATGGTTAGATAAGAGAGAGCATAGCCTGCAGCTAGAGAGTGGGCAGAGCAAGAGGCTCAAATGGGACCCTCCCTTGCTTCTCAGGTTGTAAAAGAGATTGCAGGAGATTTGTATTTTCAGACTTGCAAGATTCTGTTAATGTAGCCTTACAATAAAGTAGAATGAGCTCATCCAGTAGTATTTCCTGTGTAATCTACCTGGGAAAACTGGCATATAGGCACTTCCCAATTTTTATGTAAATAGGAGTGTGAAAAAAATTAACATTGCAAAGAATATATTGCCTGAAAGGTATAGGATTATTTAGCCATGAAAGTATCTCTCAGTAGTAGGAGAGGAAGGAAGGAATGCAACAGTTAACAGAAGCACCTACCCAGCTGGATTTTCCCATCATACCATAAAGTTCCTAGAAAGGACTTTACTTCTAAATAACATTTATTGAATGTTTATTTCCTATTTCCCACTTATTTTATTGTAATTTATAATCTTCTGGGAGGAATGTTACCCTGAAAGGTAGGATATACATATATATATTAAAAAGTTTAAAATAATAATATTATTACCTTATCTTGTCTGGTTCTCTACAAGACCACAGGTTTTAGGTCATGTACTCTCATAGAAAAGACAAAAAATATTTAATGCTAGTACATGTCTTACAGATTAATCAAAATGTTGAGATCCAGAGAGGTCGCTTACGAGATGACATCAAAGAGTATAAATTCCGAGAATCTCGCTTGCTGCAAGATTACACTGAACTTGAGGAAGAGAACATCTGCCTTCAGAAACAAGTGTCTATTCTGAAACAGAACCAAGTGAGTATTGTCAAGTTATTATCTTGCTTGGTTGTGTGTGAGGGAAGCATATAACGTGTCCAATGCCTCAAAATTTCATAGCTTTGTGAGGAAAGTGGTAAATAATGAGTGTGCCCAGATACTATTGCACTGCCAGATACTTCCCTTGGTGTCCACCAGCCTCTTTTAGGGAAGAAGCTGGAAACTAGCAGCTGGCAAGTCCCTGCCTTTTTCATCCCAAAGCTCTCTCTAGATAGTAGAACACATCCTANTGGGGGATGCCTATGATCATATTTGCTTAAAGTCATCTTGAACTGAAATAAGCAATTAGGGAACCCCAGGAACCAATCAGGGGTATCCCTCTAGCTGATTAACAGGAGAATGGAAACAAGTGACTCCAGGCAGTGGCTCACCCCTGGCTACTGCAGGTCCTGGAAGCAATATAGGTGAACTATTCCTCTATTGCACTTCGGTGCAACATCTCTGTAAGATGGTTGGGATGGAGATAAAATTGGGAAGAAATCCTTCCACATACCTTGAGCTCCCTGATAAATGGTGATATAGAAGTGCGGAAATAAATATAATAACCCCTTGTTAGCAAAGATGGTGAAAGGACTGCATGCCAGCATTATTGCAACTGGGTGTACTTCCCAGTAACTGTAACCATGGATACATCTGACTGCGCTGCCTGGAAAAGAAGAGATATATCAAAATAATGTCTGCAGACAAATGTCAAGACAGAAGGCCAAAGGGTCTCTTTGGGGCAGGGGGATTAACCTGAAGTAAAACCAATCTCCACACAATCTGGCATACTCAGAAGGGAATTTTATAAAATCACTAGCATAATTATCAGCCTTCATTCATGAAGCAGTTAAGAGAGAGAGAGGAGGGGGAGGGGAGGGAGAAAGAAAGAAAGAAAGAAAGGAAAGAAAGAAAGAAAGAAAGAAAGAAAGAAAGAGAAAGAAAGAAAGAGAAAAAGAAAGAAAGAAAGAAAGAAAGAAAGAAAGAAAGAAAGAAAGAAAGAAAGAAAGAAAGAAAGAAAAACTTGGACTTTAGTATCTTGGCTCTTTTGTCTGAGTGAAAAAGAAACAGTCAAAATACTTAGCCTGACTGCTGTGCATATAAGAACTGGTGCAAGAATCTACAAACAAGTCGAAGAAAATGGTCCAGATTCATCATGGCTGCATTTTAAAGTAGAATCCACAGCCTTGATTGGATTCTCTGGAAGAAGATCAGAGCTATTGCTATAGGAGGACCTGACAAAGGATCATTCCTTTTAAGGACTTGTGAAAACAATATTAAATCAACTGAAACTTGGGAATCAGGGTGAATCAAGAGTCTGCCCTGGTAGGAAAATAGGCCATCATCAGCATCTACAAAAAGAGCTGTGCTCTTGGAAATACTTATGGGGCAGTCTCATTACTGTCATGTAATATCACTGCTGTGGGAGTTACATGGATTACTAGGTTGTTTCTCAATGCAATTCATTGTGCTAGTCATTAATTATAGAAAATGCTAAATCAGGGGTCCCCAGTCCATGGGTCATGGCTTACTACCAGCGCCACCACACTTGCATGAGTGGCAGGTACATGTATCCACTGCTCACACAAATAAAGCTGTGTGTGCACATGCATGCCTGCCCCTCACATAAAACCATCCCTTTCCCTCCCCCCCCATCCATGCCGAGCCACCAGAAAGGTTGGGGAACACTGTGCTAAATGTTCTCATCTATCAAGAGATTCAACAGGAAGAGTCATGGGAGCAAGTGTTATCCATAGGAACTCTTTATCTGTTGGCTCCTGAAACAAGGGCAGACCCCATTTGAATGGCTGTTTCAGAAAGTCATTGGAAACTGGAGTTTACACTGAATTTTTTTATATGAAATTATTATATTTTATATCAAATTATTATATTAATGTTTGTTGCATTAATGTTTGTTTTAATGAATGTTTATTATTATATTAATTTTTAATTAGTGTTTTGCACTTAGAAATGCTTTGCTGCAATGTATAAATCATTAGCCATTAGCTTTTGACATATTGTCTCCAGAACACTTTGATTTTTTTCAAAAGGTTGAGTGGGCGGCTGTTTTTAAATGAGAAAGCCATTAATTGAAAACAGGCTTCTTACTACAACAGACCTTTCTTAATAGAAAATTGGAAAACACCACATACCAGAGTGATTCTCAGTTTATGTTAGGATTAATACCTTTCTCTAGTTTCTGGCCCTTGAAATGCTAGAACTCTGAGAATTCGACTTTCAATAGAAGAAAATCAGGTGATTAAAAAAAGATGGGGACCTTTTCTGTTTTCAAGAATCCCTAAATACTGCCCCTACAAGCACAAATGCAATGAAATAATTTATCAGTTGAGTGCAGTACATTGTGTTAGTGCATATAGTAGTCAAGTAGCTCCTGAGGCCATAATGGAGGGATCTTAACTCTGATTCATCAATAGAAGTCTCCATACATATGTGGATGGAAAAGACAGAGTAATTTCAGAGTAAGAATTAAGTTCTTATTTTAAAATTTAATGCCTCCTATCTATCTTACAATGTATTTCTGATATGCTAATATACAATAAAAAGAACCAATTGCACAAGTCATCCATAATGTCTTTCTGCATTTTTGATCTGAATCAAGGCAAAATAGCCTATGCATGCTCTATTAAAAAAGAATGAGTAAAATACTGAAAGATATCACCATAATTATGATTTTATATTTGTAATTTGGAGAAAGCAGAGAGTGCATTCATGAATCTAATTTTCACAAGATTACACTACATTACCTTTATTTCTTCAGAAGCAAATTTTATTATAAAATATATGCTAATTAATTGAGAAAGAAAGGAAATCTCTTATAGAAAATATATCAAGGGACTGACAACCACCAAGGTTATCCTGTTTCCACATTTGTATTTCTAAATTATACATCAGCTTGAATTATTTGTATCTCATGTGTGAGAAATTTGGCAGGTTTCACTAATGAATATTTAAACTGACATAAATAGAAATGTGTTTTTATGGCATTATGAGTGTGGCTTACATTTTTTTCTACAATGAAATTATCATAGTAATATCTTTGTATTGAAAATTATTTTTTATTTGGAGACTTCCGGTGGCAGGCGCCTTCGCTGGACGCAGCTGTTTGCTGCTCCCGCCTGTTTCTGCGTAAAAGCCGTTTTGACAGCCTGCATCAGCTGTCAAACGGCTTGATACCTTTCCCCTGGGCATAGGGGGAAAGGTGAGCTGCCCGAGGTAGGAGTTGAGTTCCCGAGTCGTCCCTGGTGGACGATGTAGGTGAGAACTCCTCCGGAGCCCCGGGTTTCTCCGCGATCCAGGACGTCTTCGCTATAAGCGAAGCTAGGAGCTGCCGTCACCGCTGCGACTTAAAGATAACTGTGAGTTCCGTATAAGCAGACGAACCGACCCTGGAAGTCTGTCTTTTAATTTTTGGACTATACTCTAACTTGGACATTATATTCTTCTCATATTTGAGTTGGAATGTGGAAAAGTGAACTTAAAATGGCGATGATTTGATACTTTTCAGCAAGAAGTGAAAGTGATTTCCGGTTTGAACTTTTGTTATTTTTAACTGGCGCACTATTTGCTTTGGTTGAACTTTCTATAAGACTTTTTAACAAATTGGATTATATTGGATTATACTGCAAGTATGGCTTCGAAAAAAAC